GATCCATTTTCAATTTTGTTTCATCAGCTAGGGAACCCATTTTCAATTTTTCTTCATCAGCTACTTCAATAATTGTTAAATCTAGAGGATCCATTTTCAATTTTATTCCATCAGCTAGGGAACCCATTCTCAATTTTGCTTCATCAGCTACTTCAATAATTGTTAAATATGGAGGATCTATGTTCAATTTTACTTCATCGGCTACTTCAATTATTCTTAAATACAAAGGCTATGATGTCAATTTATTTTCATTTGCCAAGGGATCAATTTTAAGTCATTAGCTTATTCTAGTCATGTTAAATATGGAGCATTTGTCGATTAGCTTTTAGAAATTCCGTTTTACTTCACTTTCAATGGGTACTGAAATGTTAAAGCATTAGAGATCCCTTCTTAATGATAATTCATCAGCTAGTAAATTTTGATGTCGTCTACAACGGATTTAACAATTTCCGATGCTTTAGTATGGTTTTTAGTTTAGCACACGAAAAATTATTGTTTTCTTGTAGGATTTCAACTCTTTAGTTCAACTGAAGTATTCTCATGAAAGATATTTACAAGTCGATGAATTAACTCGAGAACACCTAAAAGGAAGGGGAAGCTCGATCATCGATGGGTGAACTCTTTGTATGAGTCGACTGTCGCCTAGATATACAAGCTACAACGACTCTAACGACTAATTTGAAGTCACTGCTGTCTTTGCTAGGTATAATGTGACGTCAAGATTGGTAGTGAGCATATCGTGGATTTAGTTCATACATTTTCAGTTGCTTTGTCGAAGGTAAACACTTCCGTTAGACGAGTTTTGCCTGCTTCATCATATTGATCAATTTAAAGCTTGAAAGGCGTTGTCTGCATAATATCGCTTCTGCTCTTGTCTTTACAGACAAAGTTGTTACGAAGTATCGATTTGGATGAGTAACATTCAAAATCTAGCTAAAACTTTCATGCCGATTTTCTTGTATAGTAGTACCTTTGTATCAACAATCGAGACTGGAGTGGTAAATTCGATTCTATGTTACTGAATATATGTACGTATAAACGATGAATTGATAATTTTCGTAAATCTACACAATCTATGAGCTTTCATGTATGTATCTCTCTGATTCTGATAAAACTACCATGAAATCCATCGATAACAATTCAGGCTAACCAAACTTTCCGACTCTAATTCTGCCAAATTAATCTCACAGCCTTCCGTTTCACAATACAACTGCACAAATTGATAATTGAATAACCTAGGTGAAATTTCCAAAATTGGATTTTTGGTGCAAAATTTAAAATGTAATGAAATGCGTCCTACCACGCCATGTGTACCAGAGTTAAAGATTCCATATATGCCAATGAAATCTTACTGCCGTCAATAGCACAATACACCTGTACTAATCGATAATTGATTTATGGGCCTAGGTGAATTGCCCAAAATTAGATTTTTAGTGCAAAATTTAAAATGTAATGAAATGCGTCCCAGCACGCCAGGCTTAACAGACTTAAGGATTCTGAATGTGACTAGATTATGTCACTGCCATCAACTTCACAATACACCTGTACTAATCGATAATTGATTATTGATTTAAGGTGAAATGCCCAAAATTAGATTTTTCGTGCAAAATTTGGAATGAAAAGAAATGCGTCCCACCGAGCCAGGCTTAACAGACTTAAGGATTCTAAACGTAACTAGATTATGTCACTGCCATCATCTTCACAATACACCTGTACTAATCGATAACTGATTATTGATTTAAGGTGAAATGCCCAAAACTAGCTTTTTGGTGCAAAATTTAAAATGTAATGAAATGAGTCCCAGCACGCCATGTGTACCAGAGTTAAGGATTCCATATATGCCAATGAAATCTTACTGCCGTCAACTTCACAATACACCTGCACTAATTGATAATTGATTTTTGGGCCTAGGTGAAATTCCCAAAATTGAATTTTTGGTGCAAAATTTGGAATGAAATGAAATGAGTCCCACCACGCCAGCTTAACAGACTTAAGGATTCTGAATGTAACTAGATTATGTCACTGCCGTCAGTTTCACAATACACCTGTACTAATCCATAATTGATTATTGATTTAAGGTGAAATGCCCAAAATTAGATTTTTCGTGCAAAATTTGGAATGAAA